GCCTGTGATCCCATCAGCGCTGAAACGACCGTAAGTGGCTGCTTTAGGAGTGAGGGTGGGGGAATATACATAGCGTCACCTGGACTGATAATATTCCGCATCACCCCAACGACGCATTACGCAATGTGAACTCTGAGGGACCGCCCGAGGTGCCCACTGTATCCAACGCGAGCGAACTGCCACCTCTCAGCCTAAATATGTGAGCAAGAGCATGCTCGAGAGTGCGTCTCATGACAGGGTCAGTTCCCTCTGGGAACGCATGTGGGTCGGCGAGAAGGTAGTCGAAACCCGCAGCGGAGCTCGGACTTGAAGGTAAATTAATCAGTCCGGTACGGCGCGGTGAACCCTGGTTGGTTGAAAGCAGGGAGGAGGCACAATGTATGTCCTGACCCGAACGCCCTGCCCCGAAAACAGAGTCTTGGCTACCAGTGTCCCCGTTGGTGTTACGTGTCTGAGGTTGCCAAGGAGACCTGTTGCCACTAGCCTGAGCCTCAGCCTCCCCCGAATCAGCGGGGGGTGGGGGGTGGGGGGTCACGGCTGGGAACAGGGGGTTCCCCGGAAGAGACGTGTTTAGAATGCGAACGGTGCTTTCTGTGTTTCTTCCTACTTGCCGGCTGAGAGGCCGCAGTGGAGACAGCTCGCTCCGCCTGCAGGTGATCTATGCTGCCTGCCACAGATTTGCCCCGACAGTCCTTCGAATAATGCCCTCATTTCAGCGGCAAAACCGGCGCCGTGCGAGGATGGGTCCACAACGGGATCCAGCGCGGGCCCCATAGGAGGAAAGACCTCCAGGGGCACAGCCTCGCTGTTGCCAGTAAAGTTGGGTAACCCACTTCTTGAAAAAACAGACTGTGTACATGTAGATACCCTTGTATGCAGGTTCCATTCCAATTGCTGGGTACACTGATTACAAATCCGCCTCGTAAACTGAGGAGATAATACCGGCGGTGAGCTTCTGGCGTTGCCAGTGCATCTATCTATTTCTAAATACATTAAAAATAAAAGACGACATGCATGAGGGAAAACGAATTACAGTTGTAAAAGGTGCTGCCATGAAATCAACATGTGATTACGTAGTGGCGCAAGGTTTTAATTTCTTTGTTGTTGAAAGCATAACACACAAAGGGGAAAACGACACGAGGGTAAAAAGACAAGAAAAACTTATCCTACCAGCTAGAATGTCGAATGCCACGGCTGCGGCGACGACTCACGCTAGAAACCCAGACAGGAAAAAGCAACAGAGCCAGGCAGAGCCGCTCAGAATCATTCCTCGTCGAGGCGGAGAAAAATGAAGAGTGATTAACGGCTACCCATGGTGCTGCCATGTGGCCTCGGCCACGTGGGTTCGTGACGTAAGGGGTAAAAGAATCTTGAGGTCATGGGGCTTCCCCTGACCTAGATTCTATCTCTCCGTCACTGGCAGAATCGCTGATTAATGCCTACAGTTCAAAATAGTTATTTTGACTGACCGGAGTCTATGGTGGGTAATTGAACGTAGTGAATAGTATTATAACTTACCAGTCACTATAGATAGCTACCAAGTGTTTCTAATTATATAACTTACCAGTCATCACTAGTTAAGGATTATAGTACTATAACTTACCAGTCATCACTAGTTAAGGTTTATAGTACTATAACTTACCAGTCATCACTAGTTAAGGTTTATAGTACTATAACTTACCAGTCATCACTAGTTAAGGTTTATAGTACTATAACTTACCAGTCATCACTAGTTAAGGATTATAGTACTATAACTTACCAGTCATCACTAGTTAAGGTTTATAGTACTATAACTTACCAGTCATCACTAGTTAAGGTTTATAGTACTATAACTTACCAGTCATCACTAGTTAAGGTTTATAGTACTATAACTTACCAGTCATCACTAGTTAAGGTTTATAGTACTATAACTTACCAGTCACCATAGCTACCAAGTGTTTCTAATTATATAACTTACCAGCCATCATAGCAACCAGACTAGCTTTGTAGACATTTGTAAGTGTTCCTAGTTCTCCTGTTGCTAGGATTGATTTCATGTGTACATCACCACAAACTGACTTGAATGCTTTTATCTCATCATAGACACCTACAGAAACAATTTACAAAAATGACAATAAATAATCATGGGTTCATGAGGAAAATAATTAGTTGTCCAGCTCATGTTACATTACTAACCTTTCCAATTTCCTGCTAGTGCATAGGTCCTGTTGATCACAATGTCGATTTCACCTGCACCATCAGAAACTGCTTGTTTAATTTCAGCTAACCTTTGTTGCAGCGGAGTCTGACCAGCTGGAAAACCAGTGGCAACTACAGATATAATAACAATTAGAACACATGGTGAAATATGAATATTTAACATCAGAGAAATCAACATTTTTTATACTAATCGTCTTGTAATAAAGACAAAATAATTTGTTGAGAATTACTTTGTATTTTGTACACAAAAGAATTTACGTAGTTTTCTACTCCTATATGACTCCA